AAAAAAAAAAAAAAAAAAAAAAACTAACAAACCACCTGAAATAGTGAAAGATTTTTGTAAAACCTTTTCCAAAAATTTTGGTTAATTTTCCGTAAGCAAAACATTAGTGGTATGTGCAAGAAAAAAAAGGTTAGTTTCGAAGTAATTTTATAAACCCTCTACAAAAATTATGAAAAAAACTGATTAACAAAAAAAAAAGTTTTAACCTTGAATACTATTACTGTTTATGTAAATTGCCATATGTTAAACGTATCCAATCGTAGAATAAGATTTCAAAAAACTTTTTTTTGTAAAACACATCGAAATATAGTCCCCAAAGTGCCAATTAAAAATGTCCGAACTAATCGTTTCATAGACACATCTAATGATTTACAAATGCACATTTACAATTCAGTAGTTTCAAAAAAAAAACACATAAACTCCAAACTTTTTTTTTTAACCTTTACATAACACTAAGAAAATTGTACTATTAAAAATTATGTATAAATTTTGCCGTATTTGAACTGTTCTCAAAATTTAGCTTTCAATAAAAATCTTGATTCTGAACTATCCAAATAGTTAAACAAATACACATTTTTTTGAGAAATACGAAATAAGAAGAGCAATAAATGTAAATCTATTTGTCTAATTTAACAAAAGAAAGATTAAAATAGAGACATTTCTCTTACAATGCCGCTTCTATTCGACCGTTTAATGCCTTTCGTCAAGCAGATACTAAAATCATCGCCAATCTCCATTAGATGCTTATTCTTTTGAAATATTACAAAGCAAGTTGCATATATTTTTTTAAAACCATCCATCCCCTAAATATGAAGAATAAATTTCCATCAACTAATTCTATAAAATTAAAGAATCTTTTAAGTCTATGCAACAATATATAGCAAATAGAAATGATAATTTTTTTTTTGTTGGGGAGGGGGTAACTTCAGACAGAACGCTATATGTTTGCAACGTTTTCTATTTGGTAAATAGGATAAAGTTGTAAAAAAAATTAAAGAATTCAAATTTAAAAAACACAGTAGCCAAAATCAAGTTCCCAGTGAAATGTCGGTAACAACGGGTGATAAGACATAAAATTATCTGTGTAACATCAGTCTTTTGCAGTGTATCAAAGAATATTAAAATCAGAACGTAAAAGAAAACAACAGCAGAAAAAATGTTGTAAAAAAGTTTAAAACTCGTTTTTGGCGACAGAGAGTGAAAGTTGGAAATTTGCTTTGTTTCCAGTGAAATTATAAATGCAAATTACACTAAAAAAAAAAAGAAAAAGAAAAAAACCTTTTTTCAACCCTTAACATTAAATTACTACAAATAAAATCTTTTTTTTTTAAACTTTTAGAATATCTATAAAACAAAATAAAAAAGCAAAAAATTCTTTTCCAATTTTTTTCCGCTCTGTTTTTCTTTTCTTCTACATTTTTTCTTATTTTCAAATTCAAAAAAAAAAAAAGAAACCCCATTTATGCCGAATTTACAAATCGATAGATCTAAAAAGTACTCAACAATTGAGCAAATAATATATAACAGTAGAATTTACACAATCTTACAATAATGTCACTCTTCCATTCCTTTTTTTTTGTAAACTCCAAAAACGTACTACAGTCGTCCACTTAGCAAATTTTAAACCCCCCAATTTACTCAGCTATTCTGCACTCTTTAGGCAAATAAAGTAATAAGTAACGATCAACAGTATGAACCAAAAGCTGAAAATTGAAAAACTCATATATATACATATATATATATATATATA